CGATGCGGGACTCGATCCCGGGACTCCAGGATCATGACCTGAGCCGAAGGCAGTCGCTTAACCAACTGAGCCACCCAGGCGCCCTGAAGCTCATTTTAGCAGAAAACTTAACCTCGGATAATCTCCCTCAAAATAATTTCCAGCAAATTAAATTATGAGATTGCCTCCAACGTCACGCACTCTGTCAAAAGGATTCATAAACGTAAAATAAACCTAACCGCATAATAGTTTAAATACACTACCTGAGAGAGTAACGATTCCCCTGGGTTGAGGCTGAAACCGCAAATATTTGTTACAAAAGTCCGCAGATTCAAGGGCCAAAAACAAAACATTGCCCAAAAAGTAGCCCGCTGTCTGGCCCACTGAATTGCAAGTAGAAGCATAACCCACGTTTTCCCGGGATAACATTGTTAACGCCCAACCATCCACAGCGATGTCCTGAGTGGCGGCCAGGAATTCAAACAAAAAGAATGTCACAGTGAGAGCAATCACATCGGGGGTTCTACCATCAGTGTTCCCGAGCAATCGGTCCACTTGAGTGGATAAATATATCATGAACAGTCCCAGTATATACTGTGTAGGGACAAGCCAAGATTTGCGACGACCAAAGTTCCTAAAGTAAACTGCATCAACCAACGGGGCCCAGAGCAATTTGAGACTGAAGGGCCAAAAGACGAAACTGAAGAAAGCTTGATCTGTATAGCTAACATTTTTGCTCTGCAAAATGAGTGGGATGCTTCCCGCCAGGCCCAGTGGAATGCCCTGAAGCACGTAAAGAAAAAGCAACAGCAGAATGCTGCTTAATTCGGCCCGGCAACTCCGTGGGGCTTTTGAGAAGTCACCAGTGCCGGTATCCCGCAGAGCTTCTTTGTCCCCTTCCCCGCCCACCAATTCCTGGTGACTGTCATCCCAGCCGCCGGGCGGCAGAGGACCGCTCTTCATATCCAGAGAGTGGTTGAAAGTCCCTGGTCGTCGTTGCCGACTGTTGTCCTTGTGGGAGATGGTGGGTGACATATCAGAGACGATGCAGAGCCCCGTCTGTGGAGTGCCGGGGCTGAGCGTCTTGGATCCGCCTAGTCCCAGGTCCAAGGCTATCGCTCTGGACCAGGGTCTCGATGGTTCAGGGAGGAGGAGGACAGGGCGAGGGGTGATAAGAGCACTTCTTACAGTGGCCCGGAGAGCTGAAGCCGGGAGTCAGTCCCCTGGCTGGAGGCCCAGGCGATGCCCAGATAGGCGCCTCTTGGAGCTGCGTCAAGGAGCCTGAAAGAGCCCCCCGGGCAGCCGCGCCGGGCTCGGGGCTGGAGGAGAGGGCCGTGGTGCTACGATGGAAACGGGTCCTTGGCTGCGGCGAGACCGAACGGCCAGTCTCCCGACCCACCTCCAGTTCTCGCCGCCACCACTGCAGCAGACAGCACTTTCTCCACAGGACTCCAGAGAGACCAGATAACTTCCTGCCTCGCGTCTCAGGAAGTGGTCCTAGACTCAAATGAGTCCTGTCCCCGCCTCCAGAGCAAGCCAATCAGGGCATGCTTCCGAGGCCGAGTTCCGAAACAACGCTTGGTAGGAACCCGCTACTCCGGCGACCCGGACCGCATGGGAGGATTAAAGCGGAAGCACCGTACGGCCTGGGCGGGGCGCCGCGCGAGCTCCGACTCTATGAGCGCATGCGGCCGTCTGGAAAGCGTGGGCCTCGGTGATTGGGCCCGCGCGGCCACGTGAGGGCTGGTTGAGGCAGGCCTGCGCAGGTGGTCGAGTGAGCACACCGTCGAGCTTCTGAAGGTTGGGGCCGCTGTGCTTAGCGCTGGTCGCTAGCCTGGGATAGGGCAATGCCCAAACTCGGGGCCAGGAATTGTGTGATGCCCCTGCTTGCGTGGGCCAGACAGTAACGGGGAGGAGAAGGGTTGAAGTTTACGCAATGTCTTTATCAGCAGGCAAGGGTGCCCCCAAAAGGGTAGGAAGAGACCTGGTTAAATGGAGAAATACATGTCTCAACAGTGCCTGCTTTTTTATGGCATGATTGAAACTGCTCAGAGGTGCTAGATTTCTCTGTAGTCCGTTTTTTCCAGTGTGGTGGAAGAAATGTAGTGGAACTGGGATCTGGGTAACTAACTCGTTACATTGGGTCAATTGAAATCATAAGATTCCTTCCCTCCCTCTTACTGTTGATAAAAGGTCTTGTAAGAGCCAAATATTAAAGTTTTGTTTCATGTTAACTCGATATATATGCAGTATTGAAATGATAAGAGAAAATAACCTTGGGGAACCAATAGCATTAATTGTATAGGAAATACCTATAAAGTTTTATATATAATGTTTATTTATATTACATACTATTTTCCATTGGATAACGAATACTGAAAACAACATATGCTTAAAAGTTAAACATACCAAACCTCACACCATTTAAAAGATAAAACATGTTATTGCTGGCCTCTCCCAAATAGTCAAATGTTGCAATAACTTCTCCATCTCAAAATTTAAGAAGGAAAAGGTTGGTTTCCTGAAGATGGACATTAAAATTTGAATACAAAAAGTTACACATTTATGGGGCACCTGGGTAGGTGAGTGGTTAAGCATCCAACTCTTGATTCCTGCTGTGGTCATGATCTCAGGGTAGTGAGATCAAGTCCCCTGTGGGGCTCCACAGTCAGTGGGGGGGTCTGCTCAAGATTCTCTCTCTCCCTCTCCCTCTCCCTCTCCTCCCCTACTGGTGTGAGCACTGTCTCAAATAAATAAATCTTGAAAAAGTTACACATTAGTTAATTCTTTCTTTCTTTCTTTCTTTCTTTCTTTCTTTCTTTCTTTCTTTCTTTCTTTCTTTCTTTCTTTTCTTTCTTTCTTTCTTTCTTTCTTTCTTTCTTTCTTTCCTTTCCTGTTCTTTTCTTTCTTTCTTTCTTTCCAAGTGGTGGGGAGGGGCAGAGAGAGAGAATTTTAAGCTGGCTCAAGGCCAGCAGGGCTTGATTTCATGACCCTGAGATAATGACCTAAGCTGAAATCAAGAATCTGGTGCTTAACTGACTGAGCCACCCCGATGGCCTGAAACTTCATTCTTTAAAGAATGGCTTCAAAGTCCACAAACTTGCTGAAATGTTTTTTTAAAGTACATAGGTATGGTAAGTTTTAGTAAATACTTGTTGAATGATGTATTATATATTAGAAAGTTTACTACTGAGCTATGTAAGTGGGAATTATTTTTATTTCAAAACTCATTACAAATTATTCATACTGTCTCATGCACTTAAATATTGTAAAATAGATTTTTCTGTATTCTTTATCTTGCCCTAGTATCTTTGGGTTAGTCACGATTAAATTCTATTCCATTTTTATATAATTAGAGAATTTTATATAATTAGAGAATTAGAGAAGAAAAATAAGTTCCATTATTTTTGTAAATAGGATGTATTGGCAAACTGAATCTTTGCTTGTCCAAATGTTGTTGACTTACAGCTTTCATTTTTACTATTTTTTTTTTAAGATTTTATTTATTTATTTGAGAGAGAGAAAGAGATAGAGAGAGAGAGCATGAGAGAGGGGAGGGTCAGAGGGAGAAGCAGACTCCCTGCTGAGCAGGGAGCCCGATGCGGGACTTGATCCAGGGACTCCAGGATCATGACCTGAGCCGAAGGCAGTTGCTTAACCAACTGAGCCACCCAGGTGCCCCTCATTTTTACTATTAAGTTTTCATCAGATTTTATTTATTTGTAAGTAGCTTGTTCTGTCTGGTGTTTGTAAGGTTTTTTTTTTTCCTCTAACTTCTAGATATGTCCTTATTTTTTAAAATCTTAATCCTTCTTGGGTATATTTATCATCTATTGTTGGGTTACATATTATTCCAAATTTTAGCACCTTAAAACAATGATCATTTTATCTCATAATTGCTACTGGTTAGCTGGATGATTCTGGCTAAGTATCTCCAATGAGGTTGCAGTAAAGATGTGAGCTGGGGCTTTAGTCATCTGAATGCTTGGCTGGAGCTGGAGGATCCACTTCCAACATGGCTCAATCACATGGATGTTGGCAGGAGGCCTCAGTTCCTTGTTATGTGAGTCTCTGTAGAGCTGCTTAGGTGTCTTTCTGAAATGGCAACTGGCTTCCCTCAGAGCAAGTGATTTATGGGAAAGAACAAGGAAGAAGTTACAATGCTTTTAAGACACAGTGTCAAGAGTCACATACTTCATCATATTCTATCAATCACAAGCAAGTCACTAAGCCCATCATACCCTCAAGGGAAGGACAATAAAGTTTTACTTCTTGAAGGGAGGAATGTCAAAGAACTTGTAGATATACTTTAAAATTGTCATACTGGGAATCAGTGAATTATTTCAATCTGAATATAAAAATCTTTTCTCAAGGTCAGGGAAGTATTCTATTATTTTAAGAATTACATGTAATTTTTATTTCTATATGCAGATTTTAAAGGGTTTTTAAATTGAGAAGTTCTCATTGAAGGAAATAGTGCAGCTCTGGCTAAACTCAGGTGAAGGTGCCAATGGAAGGGTATTGGTGTATTATAAATCTCATATATGTACCACACCAACCATGACAGTACTTTGGTCATCCTGCCTTTCCGATATTCAAAACAAACCTCAGTAACTCATCATTTTTAAAAGCCCAGTTAACTTACCAGGAGTCCAGGACACAGGAGTCGACACTGGCTAAAAGTTTCTAAACTAAAACTTGTGATCATACTGACTATGACACAACTAAGAAAATCAACAGACTAATAAAAATTTGTTATCTAAAATCACTCAAAACAATTGCCCTTGACTTTTTACAGGCCAGACGAGAGAGTCCATACACTAGCTAATATATCTTGTACCCATCAAAAGAAGGTGAAACAATTAGTCAATTTTTTAAAAGGCCATTTGGTTAAAGTTGATCAAATTGATCCTTGATATTTATTCTCAAGTTAGGTGCAGAATGACTAAAAAATTAAATACAAAATGGTTTCCAAATGTCTCATGATATTTATGATTGTCTTCATTCTTTATGCCTTTCCCCATCATCTGCCAGAGTTTTGTTTTTGATTTTGTTTTTGTTTTTTTTAAGTAAGCTTTACACCCAACATGGGGCTTGAACTTAGAACTCTGAGATCAAGAGTTGCATGCTCTACCGACTGAGCTAGTTAGGTGCCCCATGCCAGACATGTAAATATTGCTACATGTCTACCCAGAGCTGACATTCAAAAAGAGACCATCTCCTTTTCAGTCAAGTGCTCTCCTATCCTATTTCGACCAAAAGGAGGTTGGAGGTGAGGGACGGGTCAGGAAATTCTGATATGGAATATGGGGTAATCTTGGTTTAACTAACGTGTAAGTAACAATGTAATGCTGGTCATACATAATATATTCTCCATATTTAAACTCTCAAGGCTTTCTGGAGGATCCATAAATAACTGAAATTGATTTCCTTGAACCTGATGTGGCAGTTTTAAAACATAGCTTCCAAAGTCTTTATCACTTTATCACTTCTCCCTTTGAGAGGTGGAGACTGTGTCCCTTCCCTGGAATCTAGGCTCTCCCACTGACCAACAGAATACAGCTGAGATGATGCTGAACTAATTTCCAGGTCCAGGTGTTAAGAATCTGGCAGTTTCCACTTACTGTCTCTTGAGACAATCTCTTTTGGAACTGAGTACTATGCACTAAGGGTAGAACTATTTGGAAAGGAACTAAGGCCCATGGCTCTCATTGCTGGCTGAGCTGCCAGTCAGCAGCACCAACTTGGTTGCCCTGTGTGAGCTACATTGGAAGTGAATCCTCCAGTCGCAAGTTAAGCTCTGCTTGCTGATGCCACATGGAGCAGAAATAAGTCTTCACTGCTAAGCCATGCTCAGATCGTTGTTTCTTTCTCAGAAGACCTCATGGTAGTCTCATGGGACAGACTGAAACACTTCCCTGCCAACTGAGGCATGCTCTCCCACTAGGCTCTCAGGGTACCTCAGCAAATGTGGAGCAACTCTCACCGTGAAAACAAGACTGGCACTGCATGGGACCTTTAGCCACTACTATTACGAACAGCTGTTCCTTTTGAATACTCAATGCCCTTTAGTCACTTCTGGTAATATCATTCTTTTTCCTGGTCTTCTCTGATTGAGGTGTTCTGGTGAAGCTGGTGAAGCTGCCAAACACAAACCCTTCCTGGTGGTAGCTACAATCCCTTCTTGCTTTCAATTGCTCCACTCCATACTTTCCCATTCTCCATTGCAGATGCCTGAATGACCAGAAGGGTGAACACAGGGTCAGTTCTAGGCCTATCAGAGTCCACTGTATGGATTTGCTAAAATTTACCAACCAGTCTCATATTGATGATACGGTCCATTTAGGTTCTTTCTAGTTTGATGGTTTGTTTTCACTATCCCTCTCCATATATATATATACATACACACATATATTTTAGAAGTAAAATTTCTGGGTGAAATGTATATTTAAAATGTGATAATAGGGGCGCCTGGGCGGCTCAGTCCTTAAGCGTCTGCCTTCAGCTCAGGTCCTGATTCCAGGGTCCTGGGATAGAGCTCCACGGGAAGCCTGCTTCTCCCTCTCCCGCTCCTGCTTGTGTTTCCTCTCTGGCTGTCTCTCTCTCTGTCAAATAA